GGCCTGGAGAAAGGGGTGGGAATAGAAGCATTTGGGAACATCCTCTCTTGACATTGAGATAGGGAAAGGAGCCCAGCACACACAGACACCTCTGCCTTTCTGGTCTGTAGGTCCTCTCAGACTGACTGGTAGTAGATGGTGTGACCATCACCTCAGTGACCACCTGATTACTTTATTTTCCAGGAGGATAAAATATCCTTTAAGACCTAATTAACGTTCCATTTCTAACCATTAGTATAGTACGTATTTAGTCCACTGACATCTCCCTCTTCAAACTTTTTCACATGGAATCTTCTTCATGCTTCCAGTTTTCATTACCTGCTCACAAAGCCCAGTTGGATCTCACTGGAGAATCAAGGAAAAAGGAGCAGCAACTGTTTGGTTTTGCCACCCTCCCCCAGTTTATCTATACAATAGTGTTTTCTCTTGTGAACTTGAAGGTTCTAGGAACATCTTGAAGCTTTGAATTTGTCATTTTACACTATATTGTCTGCATTAAAACGCTGTCTTTTCCTCAAGCAGTTCATTTATTACCCAGTAAAATTCAGATGACTTCTTTCACTGTATATTACTGCCCAGCTGTTGCCATGCTAATAGTTTAAATTGCTGGCTTTTTGGTTCTTTGTAGTTACCAGTGTTTTTTCTGTGTTTTAAGTAAAAATTTGCTGACTTGCACTCCTCCATTTTCATGTGATTAATATGTTAAAGAATTAACATTTTCTCATGTTTGGCCATTTAGCCCTGCTTGCTTTGATAGTCATTCAAGCTTGTTGTGATGAGAAAAGGATATCAGTCCACTGTCTCCTTCAGGAACAATTCAAACAAGCTGTATTGATTTTTTCCTTTTTTTTAGTACAGGTGTTTAGCAGTAGTTGGAATTTGCGCTGCAAAATAGAAATAATTGCAACCAGGGATAATGGTAAAGTTTTTTTCTTCATGTTAGTTGAAGCAGAAATAACATTTTCCTTCCTTTTCCATTATAAAGCAGAGCTGTAATATGTTTGAGTGACTGCTGTATACAATATTTAGAATTCTGGTTTTATCTGTTAGATTGTTTGGGGTCGGGTTTATTTATTTATTTACTTAATCTAGGGTCTTTTATTCATGAAATGACATGATGTTCATAATAACCAAGAACTGGCTTTTGCTTTATGGGGTTGGTTTTGTTTGGTTTGGGGCTCTTTTTGTAAGTGTGGGGAGGGAGTGAATGATCTTAAAACAGATGGAAGAAATGTATCATTCCTTTCCCTTTGGAACGATAAGTAGTGAACACACAGGGATTTGGAAGCGCATTTTAAAGGTGACACTAGAATTGCTTTGCCTTTTGTGAACACATATGAATGTTCTGCTGGCTTTTTCCAAGTTGGCAAATACAGTAAGCCTTTTTCTTCACTGTATTGTATTTTAAGGTGTCCTGAGAATTGGTGGCTGAGTTTGTGAAATCAGGATGGCCCCAGTCATGAACTTTGATGTCATAAGAGGGAATTTGCATGGCAAATACAGAAAGTGTATTTCTCCAGTTGAAGGTGGCAAACTGTGAATATTGTTACCTTTTGGTGTCATATAAACCAGTTTCTTTCCTGCAGCCATTCCTGTGTTGGTTTCCTGCTTCTTCTCTGGTTGCCACACTGCAAAGCAGCTGTGGGTGCTTATTTTGCCAAGTTCCTAAATTCTTCAGGTTTCCCTTTTATCTTCGTGCAGCCTTGAACAAAGGGAAGGAAGTGTATGATGTTGTGTCACAACCTCCCTTTCCATTCCAGGGTCTTTCCCTCTCTTGGTAATTTGTCAATATTAGCAATTCTCAAGGCTGGCTCCGCTGGATGCACTTAGTGATCATATACAGTGTGGGGAAATAACAATACATAAAAACTTCAGGGGTTTTTAACTTCCTCAGAGTTCTTGGTGTCTCTGGATGATTTAAGTGGGTTGCACAAGTGGTGCCATAGGTGGCCTTGGCAGTTAAAGATCCACTGAAATTTGGCCTTTTGGTTATTCCTTCAAAGAAATCATATACAAATACATGTAGTTGTGTCCTCCCTCTTCACATCTGTTCATTCAACAAGGAGACAAATTCCTAGCTATGCACAAAAGTACTTATTACTTTCTTAAGATGCTCATGGACTGGTCTGATGGGGAAGAAAGTTTCTTGACTGAAACCAAAGTTGGATAAATCATTTTGCCTGGGTGAATCTACCAGGAAGAACAAGAGTCACATAGTTACTAACCTGAGACACAGAGGCTGACTTGGTGTTCCCGCCAAGGAAATAAAGCTTGGGTTTAGTTTCTGTTTCGTTTTGTTACAATGTGCTAGAAGAGTTTTAAAAATTCCTTCGAAACAAACAACCTTCACAAGTTAAGTTTGCATAAAAACAAGTGTTTTCCTGATAATGTTGCAAATAGGTTAGAGGTCGGCTGGGAGGGTTTGCTTTTAGTGGTGTAATTGAATTGCTCTTACAGGAACAGATAACTTACAGTTAATTGTGGCTTAAAGGGGAAGTTCTGGTGTCTTAGGCCTTGCCTTGTGCCAGCATTAGTGAGATGGCTTAGCAGTATTTTCAGCGAGTATTGGAAGGCAAAGAGAAAATCTGCCTTGTTGAGAGTTGATATGACACGTGTGAAAGGCTCGGGCCCAGGTTTTTGTATCCCTACTATACACAGTGCTTCAGATAGTTGTGAGATGTCTTTTAATGAGGATTTACTTCAAAAGGAGCTGGGGAAACACTGAAGGTCCCCAGGTGCTGAGATGTTTAAGTTTGTGTGATTTATAATTTCCTTGAACATCTGTACAGAAAAATCCTGTTATGTGTGTTCATGAAGTCAGGTTCTCTTTAAATAACTGTAGCCATCTAATTCAGGAAATAAACTACCTCAACTTCCTCTCCACAATTTTTCTAAGCTACCTGCTGTGGTGGCAGTTTCTGTATGCTCTCAACAGTCACTGAATTGGAGAAGACAAAATATTAATTTAAGAAACTGTCATAGTGTGAATATTCTCTTTAGTAGCTGCAGCAGGTATTGTAAATCATCAGAAAACAGAAAACCTGTCTGCAAATCAACCTGACAGTAACATTAGGGGCACCACCAAGAATTCTGTTACAATTTGTACAAATGGAGAGATGAGACCAAAAAGCATAGCCCCAAAACCAAGATTCTGCCTTAAAATATTTGCAGGTGGGAGCAGGTTCAGCTGCTGAGCCTGATGTTGCGAGTCAGTACATACCCAGATTTAAGAAGCTTACTTCACATTTGTATGCTTTGCTTCTGATTTCAAGGATCATGTAGTCCAGGTTGAGAGTTGACTGACTCCAAGAGGTATTGATAGTAATGGAAATGAAATTAAAGGAGTAGTAGCTTTGATCAACAGTGGACAGAATTATAGTTCTTCCAGTGCAGTTTGCAAAGGCAGAACTTGCAGAATGAAGGAAAAGTTCTGTAGCAGTTCTTTGATGTAGAGGCAAATACCCATCTCAATTTGAGCTCTTCAGAATATGGCCAAAGAGCTACAGAGTTTGAAATATGTAATTTAATGGCTTTATTAAATCATTGTAGTACCACACATACACCTGCAGTTCTGTAGCAGCGTTGCTTTGTTTTTATTCATCAGAACTTTGCCTCTGAAAACAGCCATAAGATAAGGCTTTTCTGGACTTGGGAGTAGGTGGAAGTGTGTGATATATCTCAGTCCTGGGATATAAACTGAAACCCGGTCATAACAGATTAGGTCAGTGATTTGGATTCTCCACAGGTGTGTTTCAACTATTTCTTAACATTTCCTCATTTAATTTTTGGCATTTCTCATTTCTATGATTAATACAAGTTTACACAAAGTAAGTTTTAAATATGGATAAGACTGCTAATTGAGTATTCAGCTTGTTTCTTCCCCCCTTCTCCCCTTCAGATTAAGTATTAAAGTCTGTGGTTATTGTGATACATTAAAACCAAGCTGTTCATAACTGCAACCAAATCCGAAACATAATCAGACCATGAGGTGGTGAAAGTCATGGATTAATGAGCTAGAATTAGAATTCATTGGGGGTGTGTCAAGCTTTTGAGAAGTGTGAAGTTGTCTGCTGGGGCAAAGGACCTTCCTTCCAATTTCAGGTTTATTCAGCTGCTTCAGTTTAATGGCCAGTATGTTCAAAATCAAGAAACTGGAAGTTCAGAAAGTTGGGAAAGTGATATTTCTGTTTATTTATTTATTTACTCATTCATTCCCAAAGTGTAAGGATGTAATAGGTTAAAGGTCATGGCCATTCTGGTGAATAGAAGGTGTCGATTCAATTATTAAAAATGTGTATTGTAGCACAGAACAACCTATGACTGTGGGAGCCACTTTAAAACTTGTGGGGCAACTTTTGTCAAAGTAAAATAAATTTCTAATTGGATTTACATTTCTAACTTTGCAGTAGCTGTATATTAAGTAGAAAGTAGTAAACTATTTTATGACATGAGAGGTAATTGAAAAGAATGAGATCTTGGGAAATAAATGTGAAGGTACATAAATTGTCTAAGCAAGCATGTTGAGATAGTATGTTCTTCACTTTAGCAAAAATGAGTGAAATAACTGGTAGAAGAGAAAATGAATTTCGTAGGGGAAAAAACCAACATAGAACGAGAATAAAATCAGAGATGTTTCTTTCTTGCAGATTGGAAAGAATAAATAAGTAAAATCAATCATTTTGCATTTCATTGATTTTTTTTCTTTTTAAATGAAAAAAACCATCATGTAAGTTAGAGGTTTGTTTTGTGTTGAGGAAATTGAATGTCCACAAATAAACCAGAGAAAACTTGTATTGTTCGTATGTTGTCGATTTGCATTACAATCAGTGAGCTTCTGTCTTAAATATTACATTTCTTTGGAAAGTGATGTTGTGTTACTGAGAGTGTTTGTAGACTTCATGTCTTGCAGGCTAATAAGAAACTTTATTATTTCTCAGAAAATGTGTTGTTTGCCTTAGTTAAATACAGAATTTTGAAAACCTTGTATTTCTTCTTCCCAGGCTGTTCGCTGCTATGAATCGCTAATTTTGAAAGCTGAAGGAAAGGTCGAGTCTGATTTCTTTTGTCAGTTAGGTCACTTCAACCTCTTATTGGAAGATTATCCAAAAGGTAAGGCTTTTTATTTCTTCTGGGAAATGTCTTTGGGGGATTGTTCTTTGGTGTGACACAACAGAGTGAAAAACATTGGGATAACTCACTGTTTTCTTGGTTTGTACCATATTTCAAAGTCTGTGAAAGAATTAAGACTGGTGATGTCTTCACAAAAACAGTTTCATTCTTACTTCTCTTTTTCTTAATGAAAAAAAATAATCAAACCAAAGCACTACTGGTTCAGGTATGAATATGAAGTTTCTTCAGTTTGTGTGCAGTTGTAGCACAGTGCCTGCTTTGTTCTTCTGGCTCTTTATTCCATGACTGCACAAGCAGTTGAACCCCTGAGGCCTCTGAAGGATTCCTGGGATGGTGGGAGACAGAGGGGCATAGAATGAGAGCCTGTCTTAGTGCTTGATGTATGTCCACAACCTCAACAGGTAAGGCTGGGCTGAGAGGGTTAATTTGGAAGCAAAAATCTGCACCTAGAGGTTGTTTGAAGTTCTGTTTTAAGTGTTGATTAGAAGAATGGGTTGTAAGGGCTTGGGGGTTCGAGGATTTAGGTCTCTGCTCCTTCAGTCTTTGAGCTTAGTGGAATGTTTTTGGCCATCACTGCAGCCAGTGGCACAGGACCTGCTGAGTACTTGTGCTGTGTCGCTTGTGGGTTAGCAGAGTGGTTTTTGGCAGTGGGGTGGATTCTGCTGTGTTGCTGACAGAGATACAGGGCCAGACCTTCAGCTTGTCCTGTTTCTGCTTCATGGCACCCTGGCTGTCAGTCCCAGTGTCTGATGGCTGCCTGCCTCAGTGATTGTAGAGGTGTGGGGGAGAGCTAGTTAGAACAGGACAGAATTTTTTTTTTTTTTTTTACTGGGGAGTCCTTTTTCATTGTTTTTGCTTTTTAGTTTTGATATGAATGCAGTTCTGGTTGACTTTGTGTAGGGAAAAGCAAATAACAACCCCGCCCTGAAAATGTGTACTCCCACCCCATACCCTTTTCCAAACAAAAATACTGGTTTACAATTACCTTGGGATACAGGAACAGGGAAATGAATTACAAGTGATAGTAGTTCAAAAGCACTGCCCAGTGACTCAGGCTGGCTGTGGGTTGTTTCACAGCAGTGCTCAGACACAGAGTCCAGTGGTTCACTGTGTCTGGCATAAACCAGTGTGAGTTTATGTTCTAGGAACCTTCATTTTTGAAGTGAGTCGTGTTTAGATTTGAGATTACTCAGCAGGAATTTGCAGTTATCTAAGTTCAGTCTGAAAATTCGGAAGGGTTTGGGTGATAGAGGCATCTGTCTTGTACCTCATCCCAGCCAACTAGTGTAGTATAACCTCTGGTTGTACCAAGTCCAGAGCCCTGGGAAAACGTGAAGGGAACGTGGCAACATGTTTACTATGGAATCTACTAAGTAATAGTCTGATCCCATGTTTTTGTATTTATTTTGTTTTATTTTAAGAAAACTCTGCCACCCCCTCTGCAAACAGCTTACAGTGCTGTTCCTGCTTAGCCTAATACAATTAGGTGTGATGTGAGTGCAGTATGACTTACTAGATATATTTTACTTAGCAAAACCAGCACAGGATTATGGGCTGAACTGTATTAACTCTGCTTTTGAGTTGATAACAGTTGAGAGTGACAGGACCAGGTGTTGCTATGGATCAGAGGCAGGGTTTACTGATGGGGAGTCTGCTTTGTACTCTGCAGATGGTTTTAAGAACAAGCATTAAAAAATCCAAGTAACGATTGAAAATACCAGTTCTTCAGAACCATAAATGAACATGAGCAGACCTATGTGGGAAGAAACATTTAGGCATTAAAAACCTGAATTAAAATACTTAAAACTTTCTTAGATGCCTATTTAAAGTTATATTTCAATCGTGAAAGAAGTCTCAAGAACAGAAAAAACTTTGTTAGTTGTGGAGTATTAAAAAAAAGAAAGGTGTATCTTTATTTTCAAAGAAATGGGGTAGTAGTGAAAATAGTACTGGAGAAATTTGAATTGATGTGAAAAGAGAAGTTGAAGGTTTTTTTAATTAAGTGAGGGACATGTGTGCCTGTTCACAACAGTTTTTGAACTCCAGTACCAAAGACTGTAGAAGTATTATCCTCAATGAAAAAAGTCATAGGTGTTCTATAATTAATTTACTACTGTTATTTGAAAGAAGTAGAATGCTTGTGTTACATTATAAATTAAAATAAATTTTATTCCATGCTGTGGATTCTGTTAATTAATTATCATACATTCAGGTTGCAATTAGAGTTAAATTTTAAATGATTTGGAACAGAAAATAAAGCGAGTTCAGAATATTTTGATCTCACTAATGTATATTTTATCCAGTTTTTAAGTCCTGAAGTTCCAGAAGTATAAAATGCTGAAGAAGCATGATCTTCAGAACTGTAAAACTGAAGTTAGTCTTAAACAGAGTTACGGAGAGGTTGATGTGTTTAATAAACTGGATGTAATTAATAAAATATCAGAAGATTGCAGCGTGAGTAATGCTGCACAACTTTTATTTTTTCTTGGAAGCCTGTTATTTAATTAAATACCTTCAAGAAATATGTACACCTTTGTATATAATTTAGAAAGTGTGTCTTTAATAAAGGCAAAGCGATAGTCTTCTTTGTTTAAAAACCCAATAAAATTTGAGTGAAGCAGAACAAAATTGTTAGTTGACTGCAGAACTGGCATCAGTGGTCAAGATGAAGCAGTGCTGGGTTGATGGAGATCTGGGTTTCATATTGACAGTTTCTTCTCTTGATCTCCCTCTCATTTTTTCATAAATATTTCGGCAGCCAAGGATCGTGCAGTCAGGTGCATTTGTTTTGTGTTGGTATTTTTATGTAGCTAATCCCTTCTTCTGAATGCAGAAAAAAACCCTGTAGGTCATTTCTTTATAAGAACTAGGATTCATACCCTGCAAAAGAACGACCTTGAGAAAGGTCCATGACAGGCTTGCAGAATAAAACCAACATTATTGGAGCTAACCAGGCAAATCCTGCCCTTGGTGTGTGTACACAGAGAATTTCAGTGAGGGACAGGCCACCTTTGCAAGTGCAGGAAGTTGATGTCTGCTGAACTCTTAAGTATATTTAGCATAAATATTTATGTTTTTAATGAGACCTGTTAAATGTTGCAGTAATTTCCCTTGAAGTGCATTGTTTTCTGTCACTTGTAGGCCCTGAAGTCCAGATTTCATATGCTATTCCTTTTCTTTTTCTTCCATAAAAAGAAGTACTTGTCTCCAACAGAAATTGAGGTTACATCAGAAATCGCTGGATGAGATTCCTTCTTCTCACTGTATCTGAGCTTAGACTGGAATTATCCCAGTGTAATTCCTAGCCTTTAAAATATCTGAAGCTGGTTTGCAGCTTGTAGTTTTCCCAAAATGCATTAAGTTTGAATGTCTCTTGACACCTAAAGGGTTTTCTCTGCAGTCATGGAATGGAGTTGTCTTGTTACAGTGGCACTCTGCTGCTGTTAGGAGAGGGTCCTAGGCAAGGGATCAACCTTCTTGCATATTTTAGATCCTGTGAGCCACTGACTTGAGTTCAGATGCTTCTGACCAAGGCAGGTGGATCCAGCTTAGCCCATATGCTCAAGATGGGTTCTGTGCTCAGCTTTCCTTGATTGTGACAGGTCAGAATTTGGCTTCACGATTTCGCAAAACGGAGATGTTCTCTCCTCCCAGCGACTGAAAGTATTTTGTATCCTCAGTAGCATTTTCTTAACTCTGATCTGATGTCTTCCTTCTTTCTGTTTTAATGGGGCAGCTCTTCCCCAGCTGTTGGGTTGTTTTGGAGGCTCCCAAACCCGTTGTTCCTGGGCGTGCCTTTAGTGGCACCCCTGTGTCTGTGCTGGCACAGCTGAGCCTGCAGCTGTGTGGGGAACTGATCCAACTGAAAAATAACCCAGCAGTAAAATGTGTTGCAGTTGCCCCAGAATGCGAAACCTCAGCCTTGGGTTGTGCTGGAGGAGGTGGGTGGGTTGTCATGGAGGGGTTTGGATGCTGGGAGCGTTGTGAACCCAGATGGGACTCCCTGGTATAAACCTGTGAACTTAGTTTGCCACTGCATTCCTTGAGAGGGCTGGGTTTTTACCAAAGTTATTTGCTCTGCTCTTGGAGGAAACTGATGGTACATCAGTAGTTGGAGATTATTTTTTATTTCATGACTCTGCTTTCCATAAGAAGTACAGAGTGTGTAGATAGTGATGCTTAAGGTTTGACATCTAGTTGACTGCTGTTTAATGAGCTCATGGGCTCTCACATCATCTGGGTTTTCCTTAGGGAACCTTTCATCCCTGCTGTAGAAGGGTCACATGTGTTGACCGTGTTCCAGCCTGTGACTTGGAGGACAGTTGCACAAATGGTGATGTGCTTTCATAATTTGCCTCCTTGAATTGCTGTTCTCTAAGCAAAATTCCTGGAAGTAGAAAATGCAATTAATGAATGATTTGGGACAAACATGCAATTACTCATGCCACAGTTACTAAAGCACAATAAATACTGCACTCAAACAATTCTTACTGCTGTACTCAAGTGGTGTTCACGTTTCTAAATGTGCTGTGTCAGAACAGTTTTAGCAATACTTATTCTGATTGTAGGTAGTGACTGCATTGTCAAAAGCACTAATATAAAAATATTTTATGGAAGATAGTGTTTCTTAGTGCAGTGGAAATTTTTTTTAGTAATTGTTAAGCTAAAATTTAAAAATAAACACCACCAAAAAAACCCCAGAATGTTTATTGAGCAGCTCATTTATTAAGATGCAGCCTAGACACAAAATTTAAACACTTTCTGATTGTTCATATGTAAAACTGTGTGGTTGCAAGGCAGTTGCAGTTCTGTAGAGTATTTCTCTGTGGTGTTTAATGTCTTAGTTTTAGGAATTAGAAGGAAAGTGTTGTCATTAGGGAGCATTTCCACGTGCTGTGCTCTGAGGTACAGGATTGTAGGAGTCATTTTATGAAACGTAAGGGAGAACTTCCCAGCATAAAGAGGGTTTATGTGCTGGC